CACTCTGGTCTCCGACCCTGCCTGTTCTCCGTCTGTCGGGGGTGCTTCTGCCCTCTGCAGTGACGTCCTGGAGGACCACCAGTACGAGCTTGCTTTCCTATCCGAGGCAGCTCCCCATCTCTGTTCCATGCTTCTAGTCCCTGAGGGTGACCCCGACGCTTTCGACATCCCGACCCCTCGCACTTACGCTGAGGCGGTCTCGGGACCCTGGGCCTCACAGTGGATAGCTGCCATGGAACAGGAGATGGCATCTTGGAGATCCACCGGCACCAACGTCGACGCAGTTCCCCCACCTAGGGTGAACGTAGTCGATGGCCGCTGGCTCTTCAAGGTGAAGCGCCCTCCTGGAGAGCCGCATGTGTTCAAGGCGCGCTACGTGGCTAGAGATTTCAATCAGCATGAGGGGGTGGACTTCTTTCAGACTTTCTCTCCAACCCCGAAAATGACTACTCTTCGGGTGCTGCTACACGTAGCTGCTCAGCGTGACTACGAGCTTCACTCCCTCGACTTCTCCACTGCCTTCCTTCAGGGCAGCCTACACGAGCAGGTCTACTTGCGTCGCCCTCAGGGCTTTACTGGCACCTTCCCTCCTGGGAACCAGTGGCCCTTGCGGCACCCCGACTACGGCCTGCGCCCGGCTCCCCGTGAGTGGCACGACACTCTCCGTGCTACTCTGGCTGACCTGCAGTTCTTTCCGTCTTCCGCAGACCCCTCACTCTTCGTTTGTGCTGGCCAGAATCCGTTCTACATCCTTGTTTACGTAGATGATCTGGTCTTTGCCACAGCAGACAGGGACGCACTGGCCTCGGTGAAGGCAGAGCTGCTGAAGAGACACACTTGCACTGACCTTGGAGAACTGCGCCGTTACCATGGTTTGCAGATCTCCAGGGATAGAGCAGCGCGCACCATCACTTTGACTCAGTCACACTTGGTGCGCCAGGTCCTTCAGAGGTTTGGCCTTCAGTTCTCCTCCGAACAGCCCACCCCTCTCCCTGTAGACCACAGACTCTTCGCTCCAGTTCCTGAGGATTCAGTAGAGCCCAGTGATCCTTACGTAGTGCTGGTGGGTTGCCTCATGTATCTGATGACTTGCACTCGCCCAGATCTCGCATACCCTCTCAGCATCCTGGCTCGCTTTGTGGCCACAGGCAGATACCGACCGCAGCACTGGTCTGCCGCTAAGAGCGCTTTGCGTTATCTTGCAAGTACATTGGGCATGGGGTTAGTGCTAGGAGGACGCAAGCCAGTGGTCCTTACTGGACACACAGACGCTTCTTGGGCAGACGACGCCGAGACCCTCAGTTCCTCTCAGGACTACTGCTTCAGCCTTGGTTCAGGTGCCGTCTTGTGGAGAGCTACCCGCTCCTCGTATGTTGCCCAGTCCAGCTGTGAGGCCGAGATCTACGCTGGTGCCATGGCGGCACAGGAGCTCCGCTAGCTGACCTTCTTGCTTACTGACATAGGTGAGCGGCCTAGCTCTGCCCCGGTCTTTTACGCTGACAACTGGGCCATGATCCTCCTGTGTCAGGAGCCTCGACTCGAGGGCAGAGCGAAGCACATCCAGTTGCGGTACTTCCTCCTACGCGAGCTACAGCAGCACTGCCAGGCTCGTGTAGTACACTTGGCCTCCGGTGCCAACACAGCTGATATCTTTACGAAGGCGCTTAGGCCTAAAGATCATCAGCGGCACTGTGTACAGCTAGGTCTTTTTCCTGTAGCCTCTCACTTGCTAGGGCCTTGACTGTGTACAGACCTTTTATTTATTATATTCTGACTGGCCTTGTGGCCTCTTCCAGTGGCTGGACTAGTAGTGCCGCCCTGGTTTTGCTTTTGGCTTGTGTTTGTAATCGTTTGACTGGTCTTTAGACCCTTGCCTCAGAGGTCAGACGAGTACTGCCACCCTGAGCTGCTTGTTGTCTCGTTAGGAACTACTGTTATGTTTGTATAGACTGTATAGGTTTGTGTCTTAGAGGGTTTAGCTTCTAGGTTATATTCACTTGTACTCTCCCATTCTAGTTCAGTCGCTCATTCTAACAGAAATATGAGTCGTAACAATACAAAAAGGGCACCAAAACAGTACGAGATTTTTTTTAAGGCAATTATCCAAGCAATACTTTCCGTCACTGTACCGCAGCTGAATGTGCTTCGCTCTGCTCTCTAGTCGAGGCTCCTGACACAGAAGGATCATGGCCCTGTTGTCAGCGTACAGGACCGGTGCAGAGCTAGGCCGCTCACCTAAGTCTGTGAGCAAGAAAGTCAGCCAGCGGAGCACCCATGGCACCATGGCACCAGCGTAGATCCTAGCCTCATAGCTAGACTGTGCAACAGACGAAGAGTGGGTGGACCTCCACGAGATGGCGCCTGCACCAAGGCTAAAGCAGTAGCCCTGGGAGGACCTGTGCATCTCAGCGTCTTCTGCTCACGAAGTGTCTGTGTGCCAAGTAAGGACCATTAGCCTGCGTCCTCCTAGCACTAGCCACATGCCCGATGTACTTGCTAGATAACGCAAAACCCTCTTAGCGGTCGGCCACTGTTGTGGTCGGTGTCTGCCTGTGGCCACAAAGCGAGCCAAGATGCTGAGAGGGTATGCAAGATCTGGACGAGTGCAAGTCATGAAGCATATAAGGCAATCCACCAGCTTTGCGGAAGGACCACTAGGCACTACAGACTCCTTAGGAACTAGAGGCATTAGTTTGTAATCTACTGGCAGAGGTGTGGGCTGTGCGGAGGCGAATTGAAGATTGAACTGTTCAAGGACCTGGCGCACCATTTGTGATTGTGTGAGAGTGATGGTGCGCGCTGCTCTGTCCGTGGAGATCTGCAGGCCAAGGGAGCGACTATGCTCTCCTAGGTCAGTGCAGGTGGCTCTCCTTAGTAGCTCAGTCTTCACGGATGCAAGTGCGTCTCTGTCTGTTGTGGCGAAAACCAGGTCGTCAACATAGACAAGAATGTAGAACGGGGTCTGGCCTGAACAAACGAAGAGCGAAGGGTCTGCAGACGACGGGAAGAATTGCAGGTCAGCTAACGTAGCACGCAACATGTCGTGCCACACATGGGGCGCCTGCCACAGGCCGTACACCGGGTGCCAGAGAAGCCACTGGGTCCCCGGGGCGAAGGTGCCGGTGAAGCCTGGCGAGCGGCGCAGGTAGACCTGCTCGTGCAGAATTCCCAGGAGAAATGCTGTAGAGAAATCGGGGGAGTGCAACTCGTAGTCATGCTGTGTTGCTACGTGTAGCAGTGCCCAAAGAGTGGTCATCTTCGGAGTCGGGGCGAAGGTCTGAAAGAAGTCAACAACCTCGCGCTCACTGAAACCTCTAGCAACATAGCGCGACTTGAACATCGGCGGCTCTCCAGGAGTGCGCTTCACCTTGAAGGGCCACCAGCCATCGACTGCGTTGACCTCAGGTGGGGGAACTGCGTCAGCGTAGAGGCCAGGGGATCTCCAAGATGCCATCTCCGCATCCATGACAGCTATCCACTGAGAGGCCCAGGGTCCTGAGGTCGCCTTAGCGTAAGTGCAAGGTCTCGGGATGTCGAGGGTGTCTGTGTCACCCTCAGGGACTAGCTGCATGGAGCAAAGATAAGGAGCAACCTCGGACAGGAAAGCGAGCTCGTACTGCCGGTCCTCCAGGACGTCAATGCCAAGGGCAGGATTACCCCCGACGGACGGAGGACGGGCAGGGTCAGAGACCGTAGCGGCGGCGTAGTCAAGGCAGCGGGTAGAGGCAAAGTTAGTGACGGCAGCGACAAGAGCGTCAAGACTGGCGCGGCGATAGCGGCCACAAGCGGAGGAATTAGAATGGAGCCGAGGCTAAACAATGCGGGTGGTCCTACACCTGATGCAGTAGAGGAGCATAGGCTACACACAGTGGACACACCTACACTAGGCAACGTAGGGTAATAGGATCCGGTCACACTAGTGTCATCGGCATACATGACATAAATGGTAGACCTAATGGAGAGCAGTGAAGAGCGATGGAGAGCAGTGGAGAGCGGTGGAGTGCAGTGGAGTGCAGTGGAGTGCAGTGGAGAGTGGTGGTTTGGTGGAGTGCGGTATAGAGCGGTGGAGTGCGGTAAAGTGCGGTGGCGAATTGTGGAGACAGCCGGCGGGAGCGCCATCTCAGGGGGAGCCAAGGCCGGCAGGTCGGGGCAGCAGCGCGGCTTGGCGGCTCAACGACACGGCGTCACGGCGGCACTGTGGCCCGGCGGCCCGGCGGCTCGGCGGCACGACTGCTCGGCGGCGCAAGGGCGGCGCGGGCGGGGACCGGCGAAACTGGGGCCGGCGGAGCTGGGGCCAGTGAGCACGGGGCTGGCGAGCGTGGGGCTAGCAGGCGCGGGGCCAGCAAGCGCGGGGGCTGGCGGGCACGGGGCTATGGGCGGCCGGCGGCGACGGGCTATGGGCAGCCAGCGGCGACGGGCTACGGGCGGCCGGCGGCGACGGGCTACGGGCGGCCGGTGGCGACGATCTACAGGCGGCCAGCAGCGACAGGCAGCTGGCGGCTACGGGCGGCACGAGGCAACGGGCGGCCAGCGGCGGTGGCTAGCAGAGGCGGCTAGCGACGGGCGGCTAGGGCTAGGACTAGAGCGGAAGCGCGGATGGGCGGGGAGGACCTAACCTAGCGCATGATACCATCTCAGAGTTAACGAATGACTAGAATGAGTGATACATGGTGGGTTTGTACTAGTGTGTTGCACCCTCTAAGTGCATGCACCTTTCTAGCATATAATAACATGTACAAATATGTTTGACATAGGTTTGGGTCGCTTCTACGGATATCAAGCAGAAAAAAGGTATGAGTTATGGTGGGAAGGGAAACCTACAATAATAGCTGTATCACCCATCGTATTGGTAAGTTGTCCATCCAACTCAATTGCTAGTAAGGATAAATGGGATTTTTTTGTAAAGGATAATCACAATGTAGTTTGAGTATGCTTGTAAGGTGTGCCTGTGCGTGTGTGAGTAGCCTCCAGCGCAGCAGACAGTGCTCTTGACGTGGCGAGCATTTGTCGGTCATCCCGCCTCACTACTAAATCGCGCTTTAGCGACATGCGGCTAGGCCCGTCCATGACAACCCCAGCACGCGCCACGTCGGTGCTAGAGCCTGTCCTTTCCGAGCTTACGAGCTTACGAGCTGGTGAGCTGGTGAGCTGGTGAGCTGTTCTGGTGAGCAGTTGAGGTCTCTGACATGTGGCCCTTTTTCCGGCTCGACTCGCCATGTGTTGACCTTAGCAAGCTTTTACGAGTGTGCATGCTGGAAATTTTCGTGCGACCCGATGGAGACGAAGGAAAATCGATTTGCTGCTTCTGGCGTCAAGGCGAGCTCCGCGGCCAATCCAAGAAGATGAAGAAGAAGCAGCGTAGAAAAGAAGCGCAGAAACTGTTAGCCTCATCTGAAGTCCACCTCCCATCGTTAGCCTCTCCTTACACCGATCGCTTTGTTGACGAACGCTCGAGTAGCAGCTTCTCAGAAGCCGTTCTTGCTCTCCCACAAACAAGCAGGGACAGCCAGCCTCCCGAGTTCGTCAGAGATAGTTACGTCGTCATGGCTAGCATGGGCTTGGCTCCCGTTCCGTCTAAGGTTCAATTCCTTGGCGGTAACAGGAGTTATCTCCCAGGACCTACCATGAGCAAACAAAGCGTAGCCACGCCGTATTCTGCTAAGTCCTGTCCTCCTAAGTGGAATTCAGTGGCTGCGCAAAGTAGAAGTGGGGTCTCCTTCAGGGATGGGGAGATGGCAGGGGTCGGACAGGCACGGCTCACTGCTGGATGTACAAAGGGAACGGATGGGAAATCTCGCGTTCAGGTATTGCACAACAAGCTTTCACGAAACTTTGATGTGACAAGCTTCTGCCATATGACGTACAGGTCTAGCCTGCTAGAGCTCGGAGTGCTTCCGTTCCCACCTCACCCTTCCTGCCAGCTCCACCACCCACTATTTCTCATTTTCCCCAGGCGAGGCTGTTCGGGCCAGCAGTGTTTGAATCAAAGAAGCTTCAGGTGGTGTTCATGGGAGCAGAAGAAGAGCAGCACCCTGCACACGCTCCACTCCCCCGGATGTACACCTTTACCCACTCGGATGTCACTGCCGGCCTCACCCTCGCTATTGCTCACGAGTTCAACAAATCACAGGTAAGTCGCGGCGCCTCATCTGCAAGTTTTTTCTTGATTTTTTCCCCGTATGCATGGCATATCAACAATGTTGGAGTAGAGCTCAGGCGTAATTCTGTGTTGTGTGTTGTGAAACTTCTCTTTGTTGGCATGATGCAGTTTATGGGTTGGTACTCTCGGCTGCAAAGGGATGAGGTGCTTGCAGTGTGGCGCCAGCACTGCAGCTTAGCAGATTTCCGTTCGCCTTACCTGAGGGACCCTTGGCAAGAGGTGCACCCAGAGCACTCATGCAATGGCTCGGATTGCCACATGTCGCTCCACGTGCACTGCCACATCAGCGGAGGTCATTTTCTGCTGAACGCTATTGCAGCGCTGAGATTTTGGATCTTCAGGAAGGAGCTCCCAGTCGTCTTGGAGGCATTCAGACATGGTGACAGGGCTCTATTTGATAAACACCCTGGTAAGTCACATTTGAGTGTGCGATAGTGTAAGCCATGTCTCTTTGTCAAGTGGGTTGATCTCACGCAGCCTTGCTTCTGTTTTCAGACCTTGAGGATGCGTTGGTGTGGGTTCACTTCCATTCCAACATTCCAGAGTACAACAGACACGAGTGCTGGGGTCATTTGCATTCAGCAGCGCAGGTATGAATCCCATCTCCCATGGTGGGGAGTGCTCAAGTACATATTCTGTGATATGAAGTTTGATCTGACTGACTGTCCTCTCTCTGTGTTGCACCTTGCAGACTGGTACAGAGAAGACACAGTCTCAACTCAGCTCAGGGGCTCAAAGAGTGGTGGAAGCTATTGGTACCGCTGCGGAGAGAGAGCATCAGTGGCCAGTTGAAGAGAGACGAGTGGCCATGGCAGGTTTTACTATCCCGCCGCCTCCATTTGAGGACAATAACTAGTTTGTTAAACTGTAGTTCCTCGGGACTCTCTTTTTGCTTGTCCTTGCTCTGGCTTATTCTGTTCCGAGTAGGGCCTGTTTAGAGCTGTGCATGTACATATACCGTAATCCCCCGTATAAAACACCCTATGGTGTTAATAAAAATGCAGCGAAATTTTGGGCTGGGTGTAATTAAAGGCAAAAAAAATAAAACACCCAGGAGTTATGGAATGTGCATATGCATTTTTTTATTGGAATTCAAGTCGAGTACAGTATGAACCTTTCAGATTTCAATGTTCTCGGTGCCTGTGTTTTCGTTCGGGCAGATTCGTCTCCTACCTAAACACCTGCGTCGCGATGGCCACGACCTCGTTTTCCCCACTTGCTTTGACGTGCATATGGTTGCCCCAGCAGGAGTGGAAAAAAACGAATGGTTGGACACATCTATGCACTGCAAAATTCTAGTGTTTCCTGCTAAAAATGCAGATTCTAGGTGGCAGGGGGGTGTTCAAAAGTTTTCACGTCCGAAAGTAGGGTGTTGTGTATATCCAGAAAAATTAAACACCCATACCCGCTCAAGCTACCCGGGGGAGCTTAATTCCGGCGGGTGTTTTATACGGGGGATTACGGTACCAGTTGTGTGTGATGTAACCTGAATATGAAATGTTTGTACCACTAAGAATTTGTCAGCCACCTGGAGTGTCGACCTACTCACAACTTTGGCGTGGCTCAGCATAGCTCAGCAGCCACCTGGAATGTATCACTCAGCATGGCTCTCCAGCCACAACTGGATGCATGCCATAGATCCATGGCATCTGAATACCTTCTCTTTCACGTCTGTCATATTAGTCTTTCGCGTCAGTAACCCCTCCATTAGAGATTGCGAAGGTAGCTTCGGATTCAGGAAGATTCGGTGAATCGATGACCTTGCAAATGCGCTGCTCTCCTTTACCCTTGCGGAACATCAACCGTACGGTGGATGCATGCGCCATAACATGGCCTCCAGCAGGTTTCTTGGGGTCAGCAACGAACGTTCCCCCTCCAGGGTCAGCAATGACTGTAGGGTCAGCGTGTAGTGACAAGTCAGCTCGGCACACTGGGTCGTAAGAACAAATTCCAAGGACGACCTTTCCTTACCTTGATTGGTAAGAAACACAGCCACGTTAAACTCCTCGGATATCTTCGTAATTCTTGAGAGCATTTGCGCCAATTTTTGCTGAAAGGCCAAACATTGTTAGAAAATAGCAAGTGAAATATGTTGAGCAGGAGTATTCGTATCGTACCTGTCTCTCCGCAAGTTCTCCACGCCCCGTGAAATCCACTCTGAACAGAGCTGTTATAGAGTCGATGATCTGTCCAAGCGTGTTTGAATTAGTTTCATCAGCAATGGACAGACTGAATGGTTAGGAATAGAAGCAGTAGGCAAGATGCTCTCACCAGCAGCTTGAAGGGCTCCTCGGCCATCTTCGCGGCCAGTGCAATGAGAAGCTGGTATTGATGCTCGTGCGTGTAAGCTCGAGCGAATATGATCTGCATTAGGACCATTAGGAGTCACACACACATACACGCACGTACGACTCGGAAAATGCATTTCCTTACATTGTCAAGCACGGCGTTCGGATCCAAACCAAATCTCTCCGCGATTGGAACGATCCTTTCTGGACGGCTGATTCACAAATTGGCAAATATGAGTAACTACAACTTACTACATCGATCACAATTTTTTCTGGTTGGACGTTCACATACAATGTTCCTTCGGTGTCGATGAAGGCAACTTTGCCATTGCCACCTTTCATGTTGATTGGTAGCTGTGCAATGCAGGGAGTCATAAAGCGTTGCTTCGATAAGACAAAATTGATGCATCTTTCACAGGTCATACCTGTGTAGCTACACATAATGTGTGTGCAAGTTGAGTCTTCCCCGTCCTGGAAGAGTACGGAAATCCTGTTAGGCCCAAAGAAAGCTTCAGCAAGACACGCTTGGAGCAGCTCCTGGCTTACCGAAATTCGCCAAAAGCTTCAGTTATGGCCATTGTCTCAACGCCACCTGAAACCGTCAAAGAACTTTACAATTGTGAAGCCTATCAAGTAAAATAGCACATTTGTGTGATGGCGAACCTCCAAGAAGATCGTCCAACGCCTGACTTCCTGTAGTGATCCTTACGACTTGTTTCCTCTGAAAGTAAGAAAACTGGTGAGTGAGGATCCTTACGCAATGTTGTGCCGCCTTTGAGCATGAAATCTTACCAGGTTAAGCGCTTCATTTCCCGTAACGTATCCACAGTTCTGCAACCGTAAGAAACGGCTTAGGCAAAGCCTCCACGATAAGATGTGAATTTGACAGCGATTGAGAAGCAACTCACCACTAGTTTACCCGCGGCCTCAAGAATCTTCTCAACTTTGGCATCAGAAAGCCCCTTAATGTCACAGAGGGCCTGCAATGCAAGACATGATGGGTATCGAGGAAGTCGTCTCCCGGTGGATTAGGAATTACGGCGGTGCTGTTACCTTTTTTGTCCACATCATCAGCCCATTACAAGTGTAAACTCCAGCATCCTGAAGTTTCTTCACGTCGCCAGCATTTATTCCCTGCGTAATAACTGCAAAGAATGTCAGCTCCTAGTTAGAGCGATATGATCTTCTTAAAGTACGATGCCTACGCTTCTCAATTGACTCGAAGCTTTCTTCTTCGTCTTCAGATTCCTGGGCAGCATCGACCACATGGGGAGCTTGTTCCGCCAGAGCTTCCGACCTGAAGAAAAATGTCTAAGCGAGAGCAAAAACGCAAAAGCATGTACAATATGCCAAGACAGTTGCTCACATAATTCCGTTGGCCGAGACTCAAGTGATGGTGGAAGACCTCTGCAGCAGGCAGCTAAGGCACCACTTAATCCGAAGGATGACTGAACCAACGACGAAGAGATGGCTCGATCAAGCCTATCCGTTCGGTCAAAAGAGATGTTGGTTTGAATACAAATCTCTGCGTTTCGGAAAGGGGGAACCTGGTCCCTTGGGATGATCGAGCATTTTGGTTGGTTGGCAGTGGTATTGTCCCGAGGTGCGGTTCGGCCAAAATACATTACATTTTTCGACTTCTACACCCTAATAAAAGCATGCGATTTTGACAACCAAATTGGACTTTCATGGACCACCTATGATATAAGGATAGTTAGTAGCAAGTGCACGTGTTTGAGGAAAGGTAACTTGGGACCAAGCACGACGTGAATGTTGAAACCAGATGGTACGCTATGATGCCTGCATGTGGTGCAAAAACCTCCCCAGCAAAATTCTGGATTCGTTCCACCCTACCAAATGCTACAAGCATGGACTGAGGACAAGCATGCGTCTCACAGCATACTGTTACAACTTGCGGTAGACACATAACTATCCTGGCCCCAAAGACACATTCTTAACTATGGTACACAAGAGAGCACCTCAAACAGTTGCCACGCATGTCATAGGGTTACCAGCAGCAGGCTGGAACCCGTTGTCACACTTGCACAGGAACTTCGGCTTGGCCGGTGCCACTGCTGACACATCCACCATGCAGACTCCATTGCCTCCGCACTGCCCTACTGCTGTCCCTGTACCACAGAACGCACTACACTGTTCAGGCAGCCTCTGATCTTCAGCAGTACACTCCGCATCCCCTGCACCATCAGTCGACAGGCAGTTACCCGCAACGAGTATCTTCTCAGGATAATCAGCAGGGCAGACCTGAGATGTTCCCGGATAGTCTTCCGACCCGGGCACCTGAATAGTTAACTGCGTGCTGCCCGCAAAATAATTCCCTGAGAGGTCCAAGAGGACGCTGAACATGAAGCACGTTATACTGTCGGAGCCGTCGGGACCCGGAGAGCCACAGCCCTGACCAAGATTAGGAAATTGAGGCAAGCTGCCCGTGAGGAAATTGTTGGAGAGCTTCACTGCACGCAGAGTCTGCCCGAACTTGGAAAACGTTGCCGGGACGACCCCATAGAACTGGTTGCTGCTTAAATCGAGGTTCACCATGTTGGGGAAGTTGCCCAAGAAATCCGGAATGACTCCAGAAAGCTTGTTCTGACCGAGGTCAAGGATTGACAGTGCAGGGAGGCCAGCTAGGCTTCCCGGAATCTGCCCCGTGAACTGGTTGTCGCTCAAATCAATGGCTGAGATTTGCCGGCAGTTGCCCAGGCTGGAGGGAATCGCCCCAGAGAACTTGTTCGCCGAGAGGCCGAGCGACAGCAGTGACGTCGCATTCGCGAAAACGTCGTCGGCGATGGTCCCGGTGAAGCCGTTACCATCTATCTGGAGCATCGCCATGGGAACAGTCGGCCTCCTGAAAACTTCGTTAAAGGGGAACTCGCCAACGAGGTTGTTGTCGCTGAGGTACAGCGACTGTAGACCGGGTAACGCAGCAAGTAACCCTTTCGGAACGCTCCCTCTCAGATGGTTCCCCCTGAGATCCAGCGCCGTTAGGCCCGTCAGCTTCGTCAGCAGAATCGGCAGCGGGCCGGCGATCTCAGCGCGTGGTAACTCTAACGCTGTAACAGATCCAAACTCGTTGATCGTCACACCCCACCAGAGCTGGTCCTCCGCCGATTCTAGCCACGTCTCCGCCTGATAGAACCGCCCTCCCCAGGCCTTTTTTAGCGCGAGGAGCACGGCGCGCTGCGTCATGTTGACGCTGATGGGCATCGTCTCGACGCTGTTGCCGACGAACTTCATCATCTTGTTGTCGCGCTGTTTGAGCTTGTTCAGCATGTCCTTCACGCCCTTGCTGAAGCCATTGAACGGGTTCTTCAGGAGAGGCTTCAGGGCCAGAGGGGACTTGTTTAGAGGCTTGATGGCGAGGCGACGCCGGGGGAGGTCACCCGGGCCGGGCCAGAAGAGGAGGAAGGCGGCTATGACGGCTAGGATGCCGATGCCGATTGCTTGTGACCTAGAGGTTGGATTGGCTGGCGACATGCTGGGAGTACGAAGAGGGATGCAATTATAAAATATTGGCTTGGGGACCTAGAGGCTTGAATGTTCCTAGCATCAGCTATGCACGGACGAGTGTAGGGAGACGGGCGGAAGAGTGGAACAAGAAGGTGACGATTTGGCTATTGAGTCCGCACTTCGCGGCCCATTGCATTCCTGGGTTGTGGAACACGTTTTAGAACGCGTACAGCTTCAGGCTGGAGAGTCCACCATGATGAACCAAGGGTGAGAAGGTGCGTCCCTTGTTTGTCAGGAAGGTTGACTGCTACTCGCTGTGCTTCACTTGCAGGCAAGGGCATGCCCCAGGCGAACTTTTACGCTCTAACCTATCCGACCGCTGTAGAATATTCTTGGATCCCTCTGACCCGATGTGCACCCTATCCAACCGCAATCAGAAGTACGCTTGGGACACACCCCAAGGGCGAGCGAGAATGACGGCGATTGCGGGAAAACGCCTCCCCCTGGCGATTTATGAACCTTGCTGGCGCAAACCTGGCGGGACTGGAGTTTTCGATCCTACGGTCGATTCTTGGGAAATAGCAGTGACGTGAACGAATGGACGGTTGACGTCGGAAGATGGAAACCTGTCACGTCGAGCGCGAAGCATCAGAAAAATCACCTGCGCCAACTCCGGCAGGAGGGGGGTGAAGTTGGTCAGGTGCATACGAAAATCGTTTGAAGATGAGGCGTTCTAGCTACTATTTTTACACATATGACGGCACCATACGGATATAAGCTACAAAAGGCACAATTGTAGGCCTTTGCCTACTTGCAATTTTAAAATTTCTGGAGTGTAATTGGTGAAAAAATACAAAATTAATACAATAACAAACCGAAGGAGCACGCAAGAATGGGCTGAACGAGCAAGGCAACCACGTGCAAGGCATCAGGCACGACAGCATTCTAGGCATGCTTTAGGTGTTAAATTATATATTTAAGATATATGTAATGGTAGGCTTGGTAGGTGTTACTGGATTCTAATGTAGAGGGTACAACCCCCCTTCTTGTATCCCTCTCTTCTATTCTCATTACCTTCTCTCACGACACTTTTTCCTAGCCCAAAAACCTCTCGCCATTCATGGCGTCTCTTCCTACTTAGCTAGCTTACTTTTAACATAGTATCAGAGCAGGTTGCTCTTCCTGGGCCTGCTTGTCACGCTTCCACCGCGCACTCCTTTCTCTCGCGCGCTGCCATGGCGGCCGCGTCGTGCTGCTGTGGCGGCGTCGTCGTACTGCCGCGACCGGCTCGACGCGCTGCCGTGGCGTCGCGCTGTCGTAGCGTCGACGTCAAGCCGTGGCGGCGTGACCGCGCCGTCATGCTGCCGTGGTGAAGTGCTGCCAGCGTGCGTACGGCACAGTCGGCAGCGGCCAGCGCCCGGTCTTAGCGCTGGCCAGCACGCCCGCATGCAGCCAGCGCGCCACACGGGGCGGCACGCTCCCGGGCTCCGCTGCTGAAGCCCGCCTCCTTCCCCTGCACCCCCTCTTCCTTGTTGCAGCCGACGGCAGACTCGCGTCGGCCGTCCCACCGTTGCTGAGCCCGACCACGCTGCCGAGTGCTGCAAGCTCCGCCGCCGCCGCAACTGGTGCCGCTGGCCACGCCGCCGGACGTCGCCGCTGTCGCCGTCGCCGCCGTTGCAGCCGCTGCCCTCGCTGTCGACGTCGCCCCGCCTCACGCACTGTGGGGTTGACCATGCTGAAGTAGCCGTCGCTGCTGCTGAGTATGGGGGTGCTAGGGGGTGTGTGCTTAGTGTATTGTGTGTATGGTGGGCTTTCAGCTCCCAAGCCTAGGGGATGTGATAAATTATATATTTGAGATATATATAATGGTAGGCTCGGTAGGTGTTACTGGATTCTACTGTAGAGGGTACAACCCCCATTTTTGTATCCCTCTCTCTATTCTCATTACCTTCTCTTACGACACTTTTCCCTAGCCCTAAAACCTCTCGCCATTCACGGCGTCTCTTCCTACTTAGCTATCTTACTTTTTAATATTAGGTTGCCATTTGTTACTTAAATAGAGTTTGATTGTGCATTGGTGTATGCGTTGTAGAATGAACCACCCAAATCGGGCTTGTCATTGTTGACCAAATTGGACAACAACAAGGTTAAAGCGAGCGAACAGAATAACTCAAGCTTCAAAGTACTTTGAATCTTGAGTTCAGATTGGCAAATTAGAGAGACTGAAATAGAACTGGCGAAACGAAACGAGACTGACGAGGTCGCACAACCCTCGCCAGTCCTTTGGCAGTTGGGAAAAGGGTGGCAGACTCTTCACTCTCGAAATGGTCCAGCAAGAAGGAACAGTAAACTACTTATGCCCCGATAAGGTAGCTGATGGTAACGGTCAAAGTATGGTACCTGATGGTAGCTAACATTGTGAAGTTAGAATGATCTGATGCCATTGTGAGAAAATTGGAAACTACATTACATTTCAAGGGTAGCAAAGCACTGATTTTCAAATTTCATAAGTAGTAAAAAATTTGAGCGCGAGCTCATGTTACGGACAGCCAGGCAGCTAGAGCGCTTTTGCTAGCCGAGTGACCGGGAACTATTTATACTCTAACATGCCCTACAGCCATATCCCCTATAGCCATATCTTAGCGTAGAAGGAATTGTCTAAAATGAGGTGGTACAAGGGGATGTAACCTAAGAGGTTGTACTCTATGTAAGCATGCATCTAGCTAGCCTATAGCATATACAGATTATATGTTGACACCCCCTAGGCTAGACAAGGGGCATTGACTAACAAGAGACTTACAGCTCAGGGTGGCACTACTAGTCCAACATCCGGGACAAGGGTCCGAAGATTAGTCAGCAATAGTACAAACTAAACAAGTGCAACCTAGGGCGGCATTACTAGTCCAGCCACCGGAACAAGAGCCACAAGGCCAGTCAAGATAATATATGATATAGTACACAATCAAGGTCCTAGCAAGAAAGAAGCTACAAGAACTTGACAGATATACTAAGATGTAAACAGTGTAAGGTGCTATATATGATATACTAAGGTGCTCTATATGGTATACTACGGTGTAAACAGTGTCGCAGATGGACTTTAGGCGCAAGTGCCTTCGCAAAAATATCAGTTGTGTTGGAACCCGGGGTTATGTGAACTACGCGAGCTTGGCAGCGGTGCTGTAGCTCGTGCAGGAGGAAGTACCGCAGCTCGATGTGCTTCGCTCTATCCTCCAGTCTAGGCTCTCGACACAGGAGAATTATGGCCCTATTGTCAGCGTACAGGACCGGGGCAGAGCTAGGCCGCTCACCTAAGTCTGTGAGCAAGAACGTCAGCCAGCGGAGCTCCTGTGCCGCCATGGCACCAGAGTAAATCTCAACCTCACAGCTCGATTAAGCAACACACGAAGAGCGAGTGGACCTCCACGAGATGGCACCTGCACCAAGGCTAAAGTAGTAGCCCTGGGAAGACCTGAGCGTCTCAGCGTCGTCCGCCCATAAAGCATCTGTGTTCCCTGTAAGGACCATTGGCTTGCGTCCTCCTAGCACTAGCCCCATGCCCGATGTACTAGCTAGATAACGCAAAACCCTCTTAGCGGTCGACCAGTACTGTGGTCGGTGTCTGCCTGTGGCCACAAATCGAGTCACGATGCTGAGAGGGTATGCGACATCAGGACGAGTGCAAGTTATCAGGTGCATAAGGCAACCCACCAGCTCAGCGTAAGGACCACTAGGATCTACAAACTCCTCAGGGACTAGAGCCGAGAGCCTGTGATCTACTGGCAGAGGTATGGGCTGTTCGGAGGAGAACTGAAGACCGAACCTCTGAAAGACCTGGCACACCATGTTTGACTGTGTGAGAGTGATGGTGCGTGCTGCTCTGTCTGTGAGAGTACGACCCCGTTACACCAATTTCCCCTTTCCATATTTCCTTTCTATTTCATTCCTCTTATTATGCTCATTCATTTGGTCTTTATCTCATCTCATTTGGTTTCCTATTCCTCATTTTCCATTATCCTTTGGTTTATCCTCTTATTATAATTATATCACCGACCAGGCTCGGGATGTACTGGCGCGCTATATCTAGCGTAATCCTGCCGTAATCCCTTAAAGCCAATAGCCTCGCGTGGCTATACGCATGGTGATTCTATTTCTAGAAGGGTCTATTCCCTTTGGATAGGATAAACCTGGTTACCTGATGTATTCTGGAAGTATAAAAGCACCTTGTACTGATTGATAGTGGAAGATTGAGCAAACCTCATTCGATCCTGTGACACTTGGTAATCAGAGCCAAGGGTTCAGCTCAACGCTTAACCGCTGGGCCCCCAGGAGCACGCGGAGGATGGAGTCGAAACTTCAATTCCTGTAAGTACAATGCACTTTCATTTAAGTTTCGACTCACCTCTCGCAGTTGCACCTGGGGTCCCCTTCGAAGGCGAGATGCCTCGCCAACCGTTCGATGGACTGCATCGACGGTGCCGATTTTTCGCGGGGGCAAACGGCCTCGACCTGGCGAGCGCTTCAGTTCCGGCGGAACACTCCCTGCGACATTCAGAGAAGTTCGCAGTTCGCGACAACACTTGGAGTTGCGCGAAACTCTGCGGAGGTTCGACCGACGACATCCGTCCGATGGAGATTCGACGCTGCAGATCGACCGAGGCGAAAACGAAATCCATCTGAGCGAGTTTGCGTTTCGGCGCGAATGGGAACGGGACCTCGCAAGCCGCGAAATTCTTCGGAGCGTTGGATCGATCGACAGCCGACATCGACGACCGAAAATTGCTGCAGAAAACGAGTCAACCCGTGCACCGAAAGCTGCTGAACGCGACTCAGGAGGGTCCTCACATCGCTTGGATTTTGGACCGTCGGATCGACTTCTACTTCAACGGACGAGATGGAGCGCGACTTCTGCACAAAGGGAGATTGACGCGCAGAACAAGAAATCAGCCGCTTCGACACCGCTGATATCATCTGGACAACCAGATTCGAATTTCTTCATTTGGTGACGAATTTGGCGCGCAAATCATCTGCGGAGTCAGAAATCTGCCGAAGAATTACCTACTTGGTAATATCTGCATGCAGAAAACTGACAGGAGAACGTGGATCGTTGGATCGGTGCGAAATCAACAGCACGAATGCAGCGGAGACATCAACACGACAAGATCTTCACCCAGGAAAAACAATGGAGCTGCGTGAAGACATGTTCTCCATCCACGAGACACTTCTTCATACAAATTGATCGACAACCTATGGGATTGCAGAGAAGTAGCCGTTTTCTCT